CACTGAAGGGTCTGTGGTTTGATTCCTGGTCAAGAGCAAGTATCTGGGTTCCATCCCCAGCCCCAATTTGGGAGGCAACTATCACATCCATGTCTTTTTCTCTTTTTCCTCCTCCCTCTCATTCTTTCTAAAAAAAAAATCTTTGAAAAAATATCCTGTATTTGGTGTTTTAAGTTTAGATAGTAGCATGCTTTTACATGTTTTTAAGTGTCCTAAAAATGGAATGCTAGAGGATTTGTTTTTAACCCACTTTTTTTTCCTGGACATAATTTGTGAAGAAATATTATGTTGGGGTTCTTAGTTGGAAGAGAGTTTATTATTCCATTTTGATCCAAGGTTTTGCTTTACTTTGTTCTCCATTTTTTGAGTCCTTTCTCTCTTTAAGTATTTTTCCTTTCTTGATTTTAGAGAGAGAGAAACATTGATGAGAGAGAACATCCATTGGCCGCCTCCTGCATGCCCCACACTGGGAATTGGGCCCACAACCAGGCATATGTCCTGACCGGGAATGGAACTGGTAACCTCCTTGGTGCATGGGTCGATGCTCAACCATTGAACCACAACAGCCAGGCTCTGAGTTCTTTCTTTATGGTACTTCAGTTAATCAAATATCTTGGCTTGATCTTTTAATGTTATTACTGTCTTAATTGGCTGTCTCTTCTACTTTCTGGAAGTGTCCTCCACTTTCTCTTCCACTCCTTCTATTAAACTATTTTATTTTGCTTATCATTTTTTCATTTCAAGGACTTTTCTGGTTCTTTTTGCCTCTGGCAATCTTTTCAGTAAGTTTGGAATCCTCCCCACCCCCGCCCCATTTCTTGAATTGTCTTTATTTCTTCCGAGTTTCTTCTTGTTTGTCTGCTTTGGTCTCCTTCATGTTGGAGGCTTTCCTTGAATATCATTTGATCCTTGGCTATTTGTTCATTTTTAAGAGGAGACCTCCAGAAAGCTGATTGGAAGTGACCGAACCTTATCAACCAATGGGCTATTACTTATTACTGTTAGATATATGGACAAACCCAGCCATTTTTGGGGGGGAGTGATAACTGTCAGTATTTATAAATTTTTTTTCCTTGAGCTGGTTTTCTCTAGAGAACAATACTCTAATCTCCTGCCTTGCGGCATAGAGAATGTACATAAACCGGAGTATTGTGTCCTGGATTTGTGCAGGGGAAGAAGCTGGATAGAAGGATTGGAAGTTTGTCACACTATTCAGTTTATAGACTTCACTTAACTCTTTTATATTGCCTTGCTACCCCACATGCTGATTTTTTTTTTTAAATTTTTTCAATTAAAGTTTATTTACATTCAGTGTTTATATTTGTTTCAGGTGTACAGCATAGTGGTTAGACGGTCATATACTTTACCAAGTGTTTCCCTCTATGTTTCCAGTACCCATCTGGCACCATACATAATTATTGCAGTATTATTGACTATATGCTGTACCTTACATCCCTGTGACTATTTTGTAACTGCCAGTTTGTACTTCTTTTTTTTTTTTTTTTTTTATCCTCACCCGAGGACACTTTTCCGTTTTTTGTTCAGGTAGAGTGGGAGGGAGAGAGAGGAACAGAGAGAGAGAGAGAAACATCGATGTGAAAGGAACACATCGAGTGGCTGCCACCCGCACGACCAACCAGGGCCGGGGACAAACTGCAACCGAGGTACATGCCCTTAGCGGGAACCGAACCCGGGTCTCTCTGGACCGCAGGCCGACGCTCTAACCGCTGAGCCAAACCGGCCAGGGCCAGTTTGTACTTCTTAATCCCTTCACCTTTTCAATCAGTCCCCAAACCCCCTCCCCTGTGGCAACCATCAGTCTGTTCTCTGTGGTTCTGTTTCATTTTTGTTTGTTCATTTATTTTGTTGTTTTGTGTTTTTTAACCTCATCTGAGGGTATGTTTTTGTTGATTTTAGAGAGAGAGAGAGAAAGAGATGAAGAAAAAAACATTGTTGTGAGAGAGAAACATTGATAGGTTGTCTTCTGTATGTGCCCTAATTGGGGATTGAATTTGCAATTTTGTTGTTGTTGTTAATCTTCACCCCAGGATATTTTTTCTATTGATGTTTAAGAGAGTGAGAAGAGAGACATCAATGTGAAAGAGACACATTGATTGGTTGCTTCTCACATGAACTCTGACTGGGATCAAACCTGCAACCCAGGTATGTGCCTTTGACTGGGAATCAAATCTGAGACCCTTTGATACTCAGGTGGATGCTCCAACCACTGAGCATACCAGCCAGGGCTATTTTGTTCTTTAGATTCCACATATAAGTAAAACCATATGGTATTTATCTTTCTCTGACTGACTTATTTCACTTAGCCTGATACCCTCTAGGTCCATCAGTGCTGACACAAATAGTAAGATTTCATTCTTTTTTACTTTTTTTAATGGCCAAATAGTAACTACATTATATATATGTGTCACCCATTTTTTTTTTTTTAATCCACTCTGTTGATGGGCAGTTGGGTTGCTTCCATAACTTCGCTGTTGTAAATAATGCTGCAATAAACATAGGGGTGTACATATTCTTTCAGATTAGTATTATGGGTTTCTTCCGAAATATACCCGTAAGTTGGAATCCCTGGGTCATAAGGCAGTTCCACTTTTAATTTTTGAGGGCCCTCCATACTGTTTTCTATATTGGCTGCACTAATTTGTCCCTCATGCCGATCTTAAGCCTGTCTGGTTTAAACCTCCAGTTTTCCTACAGCATAGGGTGGAATTAGCTTGCTGCTTGCTTCTCAAGAGCACACAATCCTCCCTGCTCTTTGCAGGCATTTGAGTTTCATCTTTTCAGCTCTACCATGTAGTTAAACCAGTTACCAGTCCAAAAAACTGATTTACATATTTCATATCCTGTTTGAGCTTGCTTTGTCTTTGTGATTTTTCCTTTTTTTTTTTTGTTAATCCTCACCCGAGGATATTTTTCCATTGGTTTTTAGATAGAATCGAAGGGAAGGGGGGGAGGGAGAGAGAGAAAGAAACATCCTTGTGTGAGAGAGAGAGACAGACAGACATCGATTGGCTGCCTCCTGCATGACCCTGACTGGGACCAGGGATTGAACCTGCAACCCAGATGTGTGCACTTGACCAGAAATCAAACCCATGCCACTTCTGTTTGTGGGCTGACAATCTAACCACTGAGCCAAATCAGCCAGGGCTGATTTCTCCTTTTTAATGCCTTTTCTTTTGAGGTGAGGGGAAGTCATCCTCCTGAGTTTTCGGGAATGACTAGAGAGGGAAAAATAAATATGTGCTTTATCCACCTTGTTTATTGGAATTCCTTTAATTTACTCTGTCCAGTCTGGTCTCTAACCCCATCACTTTGGGGAAACGGCTCTTTTCTAGGTTATCTGTCAGTTCCACATTGCTAAATCCAATGTCCATCTTTTCCCCCTCAGTAGCAATTGGCACACTTGACCATTCTCTCTTGAAACATTCTTTCAAGACACACCATTCTCCTAGGTTTCTTCCTACTTTATAGTCTTGTTTCTGGGTTCTCTTTCTGTAACTCTTATTCTTTTAATGTTAGTGTCTCCAGTTTTATTCCTTGTACTACTTTTCTTCTGTCTCTCTTTCTTTTTAGGTAATTTTATCTCTCCCAAGATTTTTTTTTTTAAATCCTCACCTGAGGACACTTTTGCATTTATCTTCAGATAGAGTGGGAAGGAGAGAAGGGAGGAAGAGAGAGAAAGAAACATCGATGAGAGAGAGACACATCGAGTGGCTGCCACCCACACGACCCCAACCGGGGCCAGGGACAAACCACAACCGAGGTACATGCTCTTAGTGGGAACTGAACCCAGGACTCTCTGGTACACGGGCCGACGCTCTAACCGCTGAGCCAAAGCGGCCAGAGCTCTTCCATGATTTTAAGTAGCATGTGTATTCTGAGGATTCTCAAAGCTGTCTACTCTTTTCAATCTCCATTGCTGCCACTGTTGTCCAAGCCTCTGTATCCACTAGCTTACACTCCCACAGTAGCCTATAAACCTCTCACCTTGTATGCACTCTTGCTCCCCTATATTCCATTCCTAGCACAGCAGAAACTCCTTATCAAGGCCTTCAGTGATGGTGTCCTGCCTTATCAGCCTCATCCCATGTTGTTAGCTGTTTTTTACTGTACTCATTACATTGGTCTGCTTTGTTTCTCAAATGCACCAAATCCATGTTCGGCAGGGACCTGTGTACTGATTTCCTTCTGAAACTCTCCCTTGGCTTTTATTTGGCCAACTTCTTTTAATCCTTCACTCCTTGGCTCAGTTTTATTCTTTCCAAGAGGCCTTCCCTCACTGTTGTATTTGAAGTGGTGCTTCTTGCCTCCCACTTTCAAAACTAGATATCACTATATCTAACTTTTATGTGTTTATTCTCCCATTTGCTACAATGTAAACTCTTTTGAAGGGTCTTATCCATCTTGTCTATGGGGTGTCTGACTACATAACAATGCTTAATAAGTCTTTTTAAATGGGATTAGAGATGGGAAACAGGTAATGAAAAGGATGGGGTAAATAAAGGTGCCCAGCCTTTATTGAGAAATTAGGTAAATTTCTACTTCAGTAATTAATTTTGCAAGTGTCCTTTCTCTGTTTATTGTCTGTAACTTGGTGCTGTGAAAGGTGAATATTGTTTTCTAAAATTAAATATAGCATTATATGCATTTGTTTTGGTAAATGTTCATATTCTGGTCATGAAAAAGAACTGCAAGAGGTCTGAGATTACTCAGACCCAACAATTGAATCCCTTAATTTAGAAGATGGTACTATGGTCACATGACTTCATATTTTCAAAGGGTAAACTAGACAACTGGTTGTAAGTGCTTGTTATGGAGAAAAACTGGATGGCTACCAAAACACCTCTTACTTAAATTTAGGTAACTAAAATCTCAGTTTTGCCAAGAATGATTCTAAATAGAATGCTACAAAACTAGGTATGATTATATCAGCTACATGACATGTTTTATCTATTTTACTAACTTTTTTTTTTTTTTTACAAATATTGCTTTCTTAGTGATGGCTCATGAAGCAATGGACTATGAGCTTCAGGTACAGTTAGATCATAATGCTGCAGAACAGTCTTCTCTGGCTGAAGTGGTCAGCAGCCAAGGAGGACTACCCCTGAATCAGCCCGCTTCAGCTGAAGTCGTCAGCAGCCAAGTCGGGGGACCACCTCTGGTTCAGCCTGCTCCTGCTGAAGTTGTCAGCAGCCAAGGGGGACCACCCCTGGTTCAGCCTGCTCCTGCTGAAGTGGTGAACAGCCAAGGGGGACTACACTTGCTGCAGCCTGCTCCACAGGTGTCCATTGACCTAACAGAGGAAGTGGAGGTCTTGGGAGAAGAGAATGTGGAGAACATCAATCCAGGAGCTTCAGAGGAGCATAGGCAGGAATCTGGTGCTAACCGCACGATCCGAGTAGCTTCATTGGAGTCAATGAGTAGCTTCATTAATGGACTACAGAGACTTCATGGCATGTTAGAATTCCTGAGACCACCTTTGGACCACAGTGTGGGGCCAGTAAGAGCCAGGAGGAGGAGAGGGACTGCTTCACGCAGAGCAAGAGCTGGAGGGTCTCAGAGGACAGACAGTGCCAGGTATGTAATGTGTGGATTAGTATCTCATTGGGAATTATGAAACTTAGTCTCGTCATAACCCCAGTGCTCGTGATAAGATAGGTAGGCATTGTGACTTTTGGCAAGTCAGGTAACTTTTCTGAACCCCCATTTCTTCATGGGTCAGATGAAAATAAAAGTGCTTGCCTTATTTACCTAACAAAGTAATTGAGGGGATATGATATGAGAAAGAAACATCGATCAGTTGCCTTCCCTACGTGCTGAGCCCACAAGTGAGGTATGTGCCTTGAACGGGAATTGAACTGGCAACCTTTCAGTGCACAGAACAACGTTCAACCAACGGGGCCACTCTGGCCAGTCAAGGGATATGTTATACTTAAGTGCTTTGAAAACTGGATGGTAATTTGTTGGCAATGGCTTCTTGTAGAGGCTGTTTCTTTTCTTTTTTTTTAAATATACTTTTATTGATTTTAGAAAGAGGAAGGGGGAGAGAGAAACATTGATAATGATGACATTGATTGGCTGCCTCCTCCACGCCCCCTACTGGGGATCCATCCTGCAACCCAGGCATGCGTCCTGACCTGGAATCAAATCAGGACCTCCCGGTGCATAGGTCGATGCTCAGTCCCTGAGCCACACTGACCAGACTCACAGTTTCTTAACTTGCAAGTTCACTCCACTCATTCAAGATTGATCCTTTTTGTTTGTTTTTTTAAACTTATCTTTGCCTGGCTGCTATGTTTCAGTGGTTAAATGTGGAGCCATGCACCAAGACGTCACTGGTTTGAGTCCTGGTCAAGCACAAGCCCAGGTTGGGCACCCAATCCTTAGTGGGAGGCTTGCAGGAGGCTGCTAATTGATATTCTCTCTCATTGATGTTTCCATCTCTCTCTAAAATCAATAAAGAAAAAAAAAAACTTTATTGTTATTGTCGAGCTGGTATAACTCAATGGATTGAGCGTTGTCCCATGGACTGAGAGGTCCCAGTTCAATTCCCAGTCAGAGTACATACCCGGGTTGCTGACTCAATCTCCAGTGGGGGGCATGCAGGAGGCAGCTGATCAATGTTTCTCTCTCACATTGATGTTTCCATCTTTCTCTTCCTTTCTGTCTAAAAAAGTCAATAAAATATATTTTTGAAAAACCTTTTGACTATATTGCAAATGTCCCTCCTTTTCCCCCCTGTTGAGCCCCTCTGCTCTGCTCCTGCACCCCCCAACCCCCGCCTTCTCTACACTATTGTTTGTGTCCATTGGTTATGCATATACGTATATAAGTTCTTTGATTTATCTCTTCCCGCGCCCGCTCCCCTTCCCTTTGAAGTTAGTCACTCTAACAACCAATTTGTACTTCTTAATCCCTTCACATTTTTCACCCATTCTCCCAATCCTCCTTCCATCTGTCAACCAACAAAAAGTTCTCTATCAGTCTGTTTCTTGCTCATTTTGTTTGTAGATTTAATTGTTGATAGATATGTATTTATTGCCATTTTGTTCATTTTTTAAATCTTTTTCTTCAAGAAGAGCCTTTGATATTTTGTATAATACTGGTTTGGTAGTGATGAACTCCTATAGCTTTTTCTTGCCTGGGAAACTCTTATGTCTGTCGATTCTAAATGATCTCTCTGCAAGTTAGAGCAATCTTGGTTGTAGGTTCTTGCTTTTCATTACTTTGAATATTTCTTGCCACTCCCTTCTGGTCTGCAAAATTTTTTTTGAAAAATTGACTGGCAGCCTTATGGGAGCTCCCTTATACAAGGTAACTGCTTTTCTCTTGTTGCTTTTAATATTCTCTCTTTGTCTTGAACTTTTTGCATTTTGATAATGGTGTATCTTGGTATGGATGTCTTTGGGTTCAGTTTGGGACTTTTTGTGCTACCTGGACTTGTATCTCTGTTTCCTTCACCAAGTTAGGGAGGTTTTCTGTCAATTTTTTTTCCAGATAGGTTTTCAGTTTCTTGCCCTCTCTCTTATTCTTCCAGCACTCCCATGATGCAAATGTTGGTACTCTTGAAGTCATCCCACAGGCTCCTTATACTATCCTCATTTTTTTGGATTCTTTTTTCTTTTTGCTGTTCTGATTGGGTGTTTTTTGCTTCCTTATATTCCAAATTGATGGTTTGCTTCTTGGTTTCACCTACTCTACTATGGATTCCCTGTAAATAATTCTTTATTTCAGTTAGTGCCTTCTTCATTTCTGACGGTGCATCCTTCATTTCTGACTAGTCCTTTTTATGCTCTTGAGGCCCTCACTATGTTCCTTGAGCAGCCTTATAACCAGTGTTTCAAACTCTGCATCGGTTAGATTGCTTATCTCCATTTCGTTTAGTTCTTCCCCCGGAGTTTTGTTCTGTTCTTTCACTTGGGCCATGTTTCTTTTTCTCCTCATTTGGCTGCCTCCCTGTGTTTGTGCCTATGTATTAGGTAGAGTTGCTATGTTTCCTAGAGTGGCCTGTTGTAGTAGGTGTCCTGTAGGGTCCAGTGACACAGACTCCCTGATCACCCCAGCTGTGCCCTTGAGGTGCAGTGCACCCCTTGTGTGGACTGTCCACCCTTCTGTTTTAATTGAGTCTTGATTGCTGTTGGCAATGGGATGGATTTACTCAGGCTGATCAACTGCAAGGACTGGCTATGCCCACTGACCACTGCCCTCTGACTACCTTGGCGGATCAACTGTGCAGGGGCCCACCACACAGAGCAAGACTTACTTCAGCAGGGATCTGTTACCCACTGAGTCCACTCCTTGAGTGTGTCACTTGTGGTGGTTGGGTGGTGGTGCTTCGCCGTGTTCTGAAGCTGTCCCCTGGGTGTGCTGGCTCTGGGCCAAGGTCAACCACTGCCTGTGTTCTATCTGGGGCCACCAGGCACAAGCTACAAAGCGATCTGCAGGTGGCTGCTGCTTGTGCTGGGCTTGGAGGTGCCCATGTAAAGCCAAGTTGTGAACCAAGGCTGGCTTGCTCCTAGTGCCAAGCCTGGGGCCACATAGTAAGACCAGATGCTGCTGTTTTGAAAGAATCTATGAAAATCTGAAACAGAAGCCAAGACGGGCCATTCTTATGGGAAAGCCACTGGAAACAGCTTGGGTGGGTCTGAAAGTTGGGTAGGGCAGGGCCTCAGGGAATCACCAGGGCAGAGCAAACAGTATGGGCCAGGTTGCTGGAGTCCCTGATATGGCAGCCATCTGCCAGCGCAGTTGGGGAGGGGCTCACCAAAGGAATAATGGCCTCTGCCAGTATGTCTGTCTGGAGAAAACTGCCCTACAGTTCTCGCTGCAATGCCAAACAACTCAGTTCTCTGTTTGTCTCGGCTGGAACCTGGAGGGTGTGAATCCAAGTAATTCGTGCGCTGGCCCTTTAAAAGAAACTGCCTGGGACTCAGCAGCCCCAGCCTCCATTCCTGTTTGTTTTTATAGCCAGAAGTTATGTGGCCTTTGCTTCCAGGCACTGGAACCCTGAACCTGGTGTGGGACAGGGACCCCTTGCTTCTCAGGGAGGATCTTCACAGCCGAGGTAGTAGCCCTTCTGATTTTTATCCTCCACATGTGGGTGTGGGACCAGCTTGTCTGCACCTCCACCTCCGCCCCTCCTACCAGTCTCCATGTGGCTGCTGCTTTAATTTCATAGTTGTAGGACTTTTATTCAGCTTGATTCTACGCGATTTTGAATGATGGTTGTTATGTAGCTTGGTTGTAATTTTGATGTGGTTGTGGGAGGAGACGAGTACTGCATTTATCTACGCCACCATCTTGATCAGAAGTAGATTGATCCATTGTTTATTGGCACTCCACAGAGTGGTGCAGTCTGGGGTTAGAGAATTCTTGTGAAAAGTAGAATGTGAATTAATATAGAGCTTGTCTAAGTGGGGATCATTCCAGTCCTCCTCACCTAAGACTGTGTTGAAGAGTTGGACATTTTCTTTCATAGTTTTTGGGTTGAACTTACCTCTTCAAGGTCTTAGCTGTCAAGTCTTGACAGAGTTTTTATAAAGAATAACAATTATCTATGTCTTGTCTGTTTTTAACTTCTTCCTGCTATAGTTACAATACTTTATTTCACATTTGGTCTTTTAAATGTTTTCATGTTTGAAGAGGTTGACTTAATTTTTGGACCCTGAGAGTGTTTTGTTCAGGGTCTCATAGCTACTGCATGGAAGAAGTAGAGCTGGTATTGGAACCTGGATTGAACTCGTTTTCTATATAGGCAGAGATAGGAGCTTCGAGCAGATTCATTTGTTTTCTTAACACTATGAGAATAGTGAGATCATACTAAAAAACAGTGGCTAAGCCATCATTTTACCTCTTACAAATGAGGAAGCCGATGGGATAATTTATGATTTGACCTGGGATAACTCTGGGATTGGGATTGTGCCTTCAGTTTTAGGATTCAGCATCCTTTTCCATGGATGCTGCTAATTACTGTAGCAGGGCCTACTATTAATGTTTCTCTAGTGCATGGTCTCTTCTGGAGATGACCCCATTAAGGATGGTGGGTGTCTAGTTCTGTGTTGAACAAGAGTTGCAAATGCATGTAACCCAGTTATTTTGAGGTGTCATCCTGTCAGATTATGAAGGCAAAATAAGATTTCACACATTTGTGAGATAGGTGACAGTACCTTGTAGTGCAATTTGGGGCCTCTGTTAAAGTGAGTAAGTGGGCTGAGAGTTGAGAGTGGTGTCTCCAGGGACTGGCTGACTAAGAGGCCTCTCCCAGTATTCCTTAGCTTTACTAAGATTGTTCATCTACTCAGTTGGGGAGGGGGAGTGTTTGATTGCTCTTAGTGCGGGACACGTAACTTGTGTTAACCAACTCACAGGAGAATGACACTTATAAACCAGATGCCAATTTACAGAGAGAGATAGAAACTCTACAGAGGTGAAGTTACCTTGTTGGCATGTTCAGCATGATTCTCCCAGGAGATATTTATACACAGAAGCCAAATAAGCCCTGGCCGGTTTTGTTTAGTGGTTAGAGCATCAGCCGGCGGACCAAAGAGTCCCAGGTTTGATTTCAGCTAAAGGCACGT